TAGAGTATTTAGTACCATAGTTTGTTATAGTAGAATTCAGCTATATTTATAGCGAACGAAGCAATATACTAACAATTGGCTATACATCTTTGCCAATTAGACTGTTTGAATTTAAAACTTTGTTTCTCCCCTCCTGCACTATCAAGGTTCTTCTCCCAAAAATTAAACAATTAGAATATTACAGAAAAGTTTGAGGCAGATCGATAAAGCTATACAAACAATCAACATTGAAAACGAGCATAGGTTTACTTGAATCTACTGAACCTCGTTTAATTTTAATATTTGTTTAATTTTAATGTTTGTTTAATTTTAATGTTTGTTTAATTTTAATATTTGTTTAATTTTAATGTTTGTTTAATTTTTCCCTGTCTCCCCTTAGACAAATATAAAGAAATAACGTTAAACGAAGTTTCAAATTCAAATAGCCTTACAAGTATAAGTGATTTATTTATTCAAGAGATCGTTATAACAATATCAGGCTCTCGTCTGTGGATCCTGCATTTATTATGCATAATGTATTTTATCATTTTTTAATAAGATTCAATTCTTAATATTTTTTTACAGCTACAGGTGAAGGATACTACTCGATGCATCTGGAGAACATTTCATTGTAATAGTTTAACAGACAAAAGTACTGCAAATTTTACTTCTACACATCCAAAAAAATTATATACTCATTTTTATTTAATAGATTAATGAATGAAGGGTGCTACCGACTTACATTTGACATAGCAGGAGAAAGTCTATGTTAAATAACTTGTTTATGTAGCTAATTTTAAATTCGACTTGGTTTTATGCGTTTATAAGAAATATTATCTAAGTATACCTTTGTTCTGATCTAATTTTTAATAATTTAATGGACAGGGTTACCATGATTTCACATTCGACATACGTGGAAAAATTTTATGTGTTTAAAATTTTATTATACTTTATACATTTAATTCTTGAGTTCTTAAATGGACAGGGGACGCCACAGAGAAATTAAAATAATAATACCACATCCGATGCATTCAGAGGGATTTTATTAATGGACAGGAGCAGGGTTAACCATTTAACTCCATTATACCACATTCGATACGTCTAGAGGAATAATGTCTTATAACTAATTTCTTTTTTAGGGGTTTGCATTACTAATGAAATAGGTATAATTGAATATTACAGATCTATCCCTCTGTTGGTTTTGTTGTTATAACAATGCGTACAGATAAAAATATACTATTGCTTAACAGTCACAAGACATGTCTCTTATATAAGGTTTTGAAATGATATTCATATAATAAATCGAGCATCGATCATTTGATTTTTATACTAAAAATTTGGTTTCGCAAACGGTTTCTCATATGACAACCTTAATTTTGTGAAACTATTTATCTTTTACAAATTAAGAAAAAAGTATGCATGAGAGGTTTCTCTATCAAATTATAGAAGTCTTGACCTTTAATCTTTTTTAGTTCGAAGTTAATCTTTGAGTAAAGTTTGCATATTCTAACTCCTATATTCATAGTTACTATTTCGTCTCACTAGCTTATTTGCTTCTCCGAAACAAGCTTTTTTAACATTCTATTACTCATTTCACCAACTCACCTCTTTCTTAACAATCTATTTTATCAGCAAGACTACTCAAGGTTTGATTTAAGCGATATAATGTAGTCATGCATGCAATAAAATTCTTTACTATTAGACCTAGCGTCATACTCCTAACTTGTATATTATAACATTTGTTTAGGTAAAAAGTAGATCGTATTACTTCAAAATGTTAGACACGAGTATACTTTGTTTCGAAATAATGCCCATAGGTTTTCCTGAAATAGTACATATCTCGTATATAGTGCTCAGCAAAATCAAACAAAAATTTGATTTTCAAGTTTTTGAATCTATCAGATTTACAGTATTGTGCTTTAATTACCTGCTACAAAATCTATTTTTACTCTAATCTGACTTTGAACTTCATGATAAGTTACCACGAAGTCTAAAGTAAGATTGGATGCCTGTTAGATCTATATATTTACTAAAAATAAATTTGTAGTTAATGCCAATATTGTAAATTGATAAATCCAAAAACTTGAAAATCAAGTTTTTGTTTGATTTTGTCGTGCACTACTTGTATAACATAGCAGGTTTATTATAACAGTCATGAATTGAAAATCAGCGTTTTATTCCTGAAAAATGTGCAGAAAATACTCAAGACACAATGTGAGTAAAATAACATATAGAATACCCTCTTATTCAATATCTCCCGCATAAAATACCCCGTTGCAGAATATCAGATAAATGTTTTTTTTTTTTTAAAAAAAATTTTTCTTGCGACACAGACCTGCTTAGTATTTAAAATCTATATGCAGAATCACGGTGCGTAGATTGAAAATTTATTCCAAGCAAACTTTTTTTGGAATCTGCAGATTTTATTACGTGCTATGCACTCATGCGTCTTTTTTTTTTTTTGAAATTTTATTATGCTTACAAAAATTATTGAGCTTTTCCACAAAGTTGAATTTTAAACACTGGATCCGCTACCACATAATATTTTATAAGGTTTTTTTTCTTATTAGGTAATTTATATTATATCCAGGGTCTTTTATCCATTATTAATTTTTATCCTCAGAAATTTTTTATAATCATAGGTCTCAAAATATGAAATTTATAGAAGAAAACTAAAATTTTATTACGATAGGCAGACAGACTAGAATATATCACACTCGATTTATCCTTCTACAAAACCAAGGAAAGTGTTGCATACAAGGTTTTCTTTTATTAATTTGTTATCTTTGTAATATAAAGAAAAATATGAAAGCTAATATTAATATTGTTAGGCTAGAATGTTAGTACGAAGTTCCTAGAAGCGTTGAATAATTAAAAGCATAAGCAATTTATTTTACAATGAGGAACTACTGAATTTTATTTAATTCATAGCTGATAGTGTAATAGATATATTTTTTGAGAATGTAATATAAATATTATTTTGTTTGAAATAAATAAATAATAAAATAAATAAATTTATAATCTTTACTGCCTTACTGAAATATCTGCAACTTCAATAATATATATATTGTGCATTGAAGAAAGTAGGTATATATTTGCCTTGTTATTTCTAAACTATAATTATCAAAAAAAAAAAAGAATCGATTTATAAATATATTGTTAAAAATCTGAAACAAAATAATTGCAATAGTCATAGCTTAGTGTTTTAAAATATTACCGTAGAGCACCATATACAGTACCATGCGTGATAAATAATTTAGATCAATTTTAGATCAATTTTTTATATGAATATATGATATAAAATACATGTGATTTTTAATTTTTCACTATTTAAAAAATTGTGGTACTCTCTGTAGTATGAGAGAGCTTTGGCAATTAGGCCTATTTAGCCTTGATAGAACTAGGGAAAACGGGTAATGGAAATAATAACACGGGTTATATAAGGGTTACTGGTATGCACTGTGTATTTAAAGATCTGGGATAAGATAATTCAGGATGGGTAATTGTTAGACGGATTAGGGTTAATTTGGGGACAAATGTTAACAATAACGAAGTAATTAAATTAGGATATGATAATCAATTTAATTATATGCACAATACGCTTTAAGTATATGCGTTAGATATTTTAAATAAATGCAAACAGATAATAATAATATTTTATTAGATAATTATATGATATCAATATATGAAGCAGAAAGCGAATATAATAAATAAATAAAAGAAAATAAGGAAATCGATAAAAACTAATAAGAAATAAATAAAGTAAATAATCAATAAAGCCAAGGAGTAATAATTGAGAAGTCGAATCTACTTAAATCAAAGTCTGAAGCTTATTTTATGGGCAAATACGATGCTTATAAATACATGTTTTCTTATTATGATACATCATAATTCACCTTTTTAAACCCGATAGTATGTCTTTCCTCTCATGAAGGAAATACTATCACAATTTTATCAGAAGATAAAAAAAATATCACGAAATAAACATGGGTTTTCTGGGGTTGAGCGACAAGATCCACAAGATAGAGCAATGTATTATAGCAAAAAAAGATTTGATTATTCACATGAGGGCGATAGGGATACGATATAAAAATTAAACATTAACAGCGGTAAAAGTGATTGCTAAATCAATCTGCTGTTACAAGTATGTTTCGCCCAATAAAGCTCTATGAAAATAGTAAATAACCATTTCATGAGCTTGTTATCCCTAAAATTATAATTATCAAAAAAAAAAAAAAGAATCGATTAATCAATATATTGTTAAAGATCTGAAACGAATGGTTGCAATGATCATAGCTTAATGTTTTGAAAATATTATATGCTGAAGTTCATTCACTCTGGTGAAACATTCACAATTTGAAAGAATGCGTAAAAGTGATTGTTCAATTAATTCACTGTTACAAGTATGTTTCACCCAATAAAGTTCTATAAAAGTAGTAAATAACCATTTCACGAGCTTATTATCCCTAAAATTATGATTATCAAAAAAAAAAAAAGAATCGATTAATCAATATATTGTTAAAGATCTGAAATGAATAGTTGCAATAGTTATAGCTTAATGTTTTGAAAATATTATATACTGAAGTCCGTTCACTCTGTCGAAACATTCAAAATTTGAAAGAATGCGTAAAAGTGATTGTTTAATTAATCCACTGTTACAAGTATGTTTCACCCAATAAAGTTCTATCCTAGTAAAGGTTTCGAATTTGTGTCCTAAAGCCCATTTATCTAACAAAAAACGTTTCAAAATTTGGAAAGTATGAAAATATAAATAGGCCTCGTAATTTAAGGTATCAATTTTTTTCAACATTCCAATTCTCTTCTCTTAATTAAACATAATAACCAGAATAAAATTGCTTAGTTTCAAAAATAGCAGATTCTGAGTTTGTTTCTCACATAGACTTCGAAGAAGGCAGTACCTCTGAAGAAAATAGTGAAGAGCCTTTTACTATCAATCAAATTAACCTTGAAAATGCTCGAACCTTACTCAATGATGATGAAAGTGAATTAAATGATGATGATGAAAATGAAGCAAATGACGATAATGAAAATGAAGAAACTGACTGGGATGAGACTGAACCAGAAGATTCTAACTCGTATGAAAGAGATATAACAATTCCAGAGACCTCTCCGCAAAGTCTAACACCATGTGTAGTTATAGATATTATTCAAGGTGAGATAAAACGCTGTAATGATACAAAAAATCTATGCCGACTAAGACAAATGGTAGGGACATAGGAAATAGATGTAGAAGCAGTTAAAGATGCTGAGAAAAAATGTGGTAATGTTCCAACAAATCTACGCCGACTGAGACAAATGATGGATATGGACACAGACGAAGAGAATAATCTTTCCTGACTTAGCGTGTGCTATTCTCATTTTCTTTTTAACCAAAATAAACTTCATGAACCAGGCTTTAAGAAATCTCGTGTGGTCGATCAAAGCATTGTTCATTTTCGCATTTGCCTATTTTGTAATAGAAAAAAGTGTTTCTTTAGTCGAGGTGATATTTGTACACAGCATTCGTGGAATATCAATGGACGTAATATTCAAGTACCTTGTAGTGGCGTTCTTGATTGTTCTGCATTTATCGAAGGACATATCGCAAAAAAATCAAATTCAGGTTACCGTGCTCGTTATATATGCACTGAATGCTTTCAACAACATGGAGGGCATCTATACGAAAAATTAGGTAAAAGAATTGCACCACCATCTTGTACCGAGCTGGAAAAACATTGTAATGATACGAGTGATGCTTTGAGGCTTATTGGAAAATAGTTAATAATGGTAGCAGAATCAGAGGATCAAGAACTACAAGAAACTCTTTTATCTCAGATATCCTTAACTATTTTTAGTGATGTAACAAATAAAAACTTATCTGAACTTCCAAGCAAATTACTTATCAAAACAATGATGAGATTAAAGAACATTAAATTAAATAGATTAATAAAGAAAAGGTTTCATATAACTCAAGAAAAGGCTTTGACAATGGGAAAAAGATTAGGGAATGAAATTTTGTACTTGCGTTCTAAAATTAAAAAAAATGTCAGCCAGTTAGAAAACCCAAGCTCATATGACGACTATATTAATGCATTACCTAATATCATTTTCAGCTTTTTTAAAGCTCTTCTTACAGTACTACAACAATATAAACTAACTGTCGTCAATAATAAAAGGCGTCAACGTGAACTTCCACTAAAATCACTTAATGAAAGTCAAATAACAAAAACTACTACATTGTTGACTTCCATGCTACTTACTATCGCTTTTCCTGGAGTAAAATTCTGGCTTTCGCATATAATGTCATCATTATGCCAAAATCCGAAATCACTGTCATATCTACGAAAAATTCTTTATTCAGCATGCGTTATATCACACACTAAACGACATGAAAATCGTCTGGAAAGGTTAAGGATACAAAATACAGACCCTAAAAAGAACCTACTTGACAAACCAAATATTTGGAATTTAGCAGTAATTGACAATATCGACTTCAAAGCTTCTACATTCTCGTACGGAAATATTTTTGATATTACACGACAATCTTCGCATGCAACATTACGAATGGTGTTTCAATTTTCTCTTCCTACCTCATCTGAGTATCTAATCGAAGATTCTGAATTTACTAACCAGCCACTGTTTGGGGAGTCGTTGACCACTAATAACCTTTTGACAATGTATGAGACTACTCTAAAAGCATTGTTAGAGACTCGCATAAATGAATTTGAGATGGAAGATGTACTCACTGAAATTGCCAAGCAAGTACCTGTAGGTTGTAATATTCCACTACCAAATATTGTTATATTAGAACCTGGTGACTCACCAAATTGTAACGAAAATGTTCATGTTGCATGTGAAATGTATCGTGATGACTTATCTTGTGGCAATAACGATTGCCTTTATATAGCATGCGACCAAGCAATTTTTGGAAGATTAATCTTCTACAAAGAGATTTTTAGTGATGTCAAACTTCTTCTCAGACAATGGCACACGTCTAAAGACATGTGCTGCACCCTAATTACGATATTTTCTGGATACGGAATCTTCAATCTTGCAGCAACTCTTGGTGTACGATATTTAGATAAATTTGAGCTTGCAATAGATTATCGGGCAACAACTCGTGTTTTGGAATTAATTTGGGTTGCTGTTGGGATTGCATTGTGTCAGTATGTAAAAAGTAAAGAAAAACCTTTGGACTATATTTTGAATAGTAATAATGACTTAGCAAAGGTATGGTATCTCTTCTTCTGCTGGACAGGGTATTTTATAGGCCATAAAATCGGAATTAGAAGAGGAAATTATAAAATGCAGATAGCAAATTTGGCTGCATTCGCACCTCTATTTCCAGCGGCTGAGAAGTTCAAATATGCAAGTTCTGTAGCACATTTTTTAGCTCAGGTCCATGATGATTTACGACTACAAAAATTGTTACAAACAGTTTGTTCAGTAAATCTTATAAGTGAAGGACATTATTTTGCCTTCGATGAAGCACTTGAAACTTACGGAGTAAAGTTTATCAAGCAAAACATAACAGGTAATCTTGCTGACCAAGAGACTATGATGATGAAAATTAAAGCTGCACAAAGTGAGAAAAATCGTTTAGCAATGCTTCTTGCTGAGTATGTTGATGACATAGTGGTAAGCCAAAGTGTTCGTGCAGTCAAGTCACGCAAAGATTCACTTTGGTCTCTAGCCACAAAGTTATTGTCTGCCTTTGATGATCCAAATCTAGCAACCCATTTTCTGTTCAAAGATGCACCAGAAATTAGCAAAAATGGTATCGAAAATATCCTTTCTTTTTATGAGACCGGAACTTCACGTTTTCAACAAGTACTTGTGCAGGATGTATACAAAACTGAGGCTCCAATTTCTGGATGTCGTTCACGAAATATAAATGCATATACTTATGCTAAACTTGTGAGTATGAAAAAACAAAAAATTAGCCAAGTAAACTATTCTATACAAGTTCAAGAAGATGCTTCAACATCATATCAGACATTACTACCTTCCGAAATTAACCTTTCAAGACAGACTCGTCACGCTACTACAAAAGCAGAAAAAGATATACTTGTTGAATTATTTAAGGTTGGAGAAGGAATGCCCGAAGCTGCAATCATAACAGTCATGTTAAAACTTCAAACTATATCTTCAGATTGGACCAAAGAAAGAGTCAAACAATATTATAAAAATAATTGGCGCAAGTATGTTCAAAAATAAAACAAAAAATAGAATTATTTTACGAAGTTTCCTTGAATTCGGAATTTTAATTTTGAACCCTTACGTAGATCTTGTACTTTACCGTTTTTATAAACCCCGAGATAATAAAAAATAAAACTTTATTAGTTTATCAAAAAACTATATATTCAATTTACTTTATATATTTAATATATAATATAACCTGTTACCCATTTCTTCATTATTATGTTCTGATCCCTTGCTTTATCTATTTAATAAAGCTTTTTACGTTAGTTAACAGTTAAGTTTATAAAAAAAGAGATAAAAGCATAAATGCTTCTGAATTAGTACTTTAATCTATCTTATTAAAACGTACCTCTTAGTAAACTTCAATAAATTATAACTAACTCGTTTTTACTTCAATAATAAAACTTGTAAAGCTTTTCATTTGCGTTCTCTAACAGAGCAAAGCTAGTTTTAATCTGTAGTATTTAAAAGTAGATCTTGTCATTTAGGTTAAAAACTTGCAATTTTCGGGTCTCATTTTATTTTATATAAAATAAAGTAATAAGTATGTTTTTACCATAAAATGAAAGTTCGAAACTTGGAAATTAAAATTCGTCCAAGGTCAAAAATATTTATTATTAATTATTTGACATATGTCAAAAAAAAAAATCACGATATTACATATTACGCAAAAAATTACTATATAAAATCAATGTGATCGACATGTCCTATGACTGTTACCAAATTTTGGCTTAATTTCATAAATTCGCCGTAATGGTTGCTTTTTTATTTTATTTAACAAAAAAAGAAATACTATAACCACAATTCATTGGGGTTATACGTCAACTAACTGCTAACAGCTAAGTACATACGTACGTATATCAAACCTTGATATCAGATATAAAATTTTTTCGTGTATAGTAAATTCTCATAATACATTTTTTTTTATAAATCAACGAGTGATAGTAAAATATATAATAAAATTCAAGCCGTAATAACTCTTGAACTAGCAAACCCACACAAATAAAATTATATTTGTCGGGTTTGTTTTAACATACTTTTTAAAGTAATAACGATCTTTTTTGTTTTCTTATCAAATATCTGATATTTTTTATCTTAAACTGAAACCGCTATAAGAAATTTGTTGTGTTACACAACATGCAATGGTGCAAACAGAAATTTCATTGTTACGTTTTTGACTTTTTTATTAAAAATGCATCAAAAACGAGAATTTTGCATAAAAATTTCGAGTCTTCTGCCATACTCTAGACAATAAAAATAAATAAAAAATAACGTTATTACTTTAAGAGCATGTTAAAACGAACTTAACGAATGTAATTTTATTTATGTGGGTTTCTGGTTAAAGAGTTATTGCAGTTTGAATTTTATATAACATTCATCGATCTATAAAAAAAAGTTGCTAAAAAACATGAAGGTTATAATCTAGGGGTCTCCTGGATTACGAGAATTTATTATGTGACCTGCACTATGTAAATCTACTGATTGTATTCACCCCAGCGCTATATGTAATTTACACTATGTAAGATTTTTAAATTTTTGTCAATTATTTTTATCATCATAGTAATTCATTAGTAGAGATATCCGTTAAATTTTAAATAGGAAAACGGATAACGGATCGCATCTCTATTCATTAGTATCTTTAAAACGTGTAGTTTTAAAACTATGTTGAAACGGTTTTAAATTTATTTTGTTAATGTAATTAAAAGATCAAATGTTTTTTTAGTTGCGAATTTTAATAGTAAAATGGTTACGATTTATAAGTTTATACTATAGCGATAGAAGCCCGAAATATTTACATAGAATTCTTAAATGTCGCAACGTAGTTTTACTAGATATCATTTACAAGTTACAGAATTGAATTTGCTTTACTAGTACGAGAGTTAGAACGTTTTAAATATGGATTTAAGTATGATATAATATCGATACAGTATTATTAATTTAAATTTACACTTAAAACGTTCTAACCCTCGTACTAGTAAAGCAAATTCAATTCTGTAACTTGTAAATGATATCTAATAGCGTGGCTATAAATTATGTTGCGACATTTAAGAATTCTATGTAAATATTTCGGGCTTCTATAGTATAAACTTATAGGAGTTTGCTATTTATCGCCACTGTTGATGACCACCAGTAGCGATAAATAGTAATTTTCAAACTTATAAATCGTAACCATTTTACTATTAAAATTCGAAACTAAAAAAACAGTTGATCTTTTAATTACATTAACAAAATAAATTTAAAAATGTCTCAACATAGTTTTTAAAACTACACAATTCTAATATCATTTGCAAGTTACAGAATTGACTTTACTAGAACGGGAGTTAGAACGTTTTAAAGATACTAATAAATTACTATGATAGTGTCAATTACATATAGCGCTGCACTGATATTAAATCATATAATGTGCAACACCCCAGGACCGGTTCTTGGATTGGGACAAAATGTTTTCAGTTCTCGGTCCTGGACTGGTTCTTGATTTACTATTAAATTTACTGTTAGATGTGATAATATCACATTGTTTAAAATAATTTGGGCATCCATTATTCGTTAAATACTAAATTTAATTGTAAAATCCGTTAAATTTAATATGAAAACTGATAACGGATCCAGGTAACATTAGCAATACCCAAATCTTGTCACATGTATGAATTTTTACTGGTTAGTTTCATTAACCATTCATGCAATTCCATTTGATAACCTCTTCAGCTTTTTCTTGTTAGACTTCAAAATTTTTTTCAAAGAGATACTATTGGTCGATGATATATCGGTTCCAGTGGGATTTGCTACTGGATGCTAGAAAATTTTGGACGTCTAGCGGGATTCCAGATGTCCAGTGACAACACTGTATATCGATACCTATTTCTGTATAATAAAAATAGATGCCCAGCTCTAACTTTATTGTAATTCAAAGTAATATTTTGTACAAATCGATATTTAAAGTTATTTTTTATATTTAATATAAAAAAACTTACAATTCGGGTTAAATTTAAAATTTTAATATAGAAGCAATGAAGTATATTTATTTATAATCTCATAAAAAAAGGCTTCGTAACTTTGTAATTGTAATGCGTAAAAAATGATAAAATTTGCTCTTCCCAAAAATTTCCTCGATCCCGTCCTAAGAATCATCCAACTTTTTCGGAAACTACGTCGCTATCTCTGAATTGAAGTTCTGAGAACAGCGAAGTCGTTTCCGAAAAGTTAAGACGGGATTAAAGAGATTTCTGGGAAAGAGCAATTTTTTCAGGTGTCCCAGAATTTATTAAAACAGCTGTAATTAAAAAAATTTTGATTGGCCAAGATTACTTAGTGACGCGTAATGATAAATATCCAAAACCCGATCGCTGCATAGAAATTCACGGAGAAAATATTGACAGGACATAGGATCAAATGTCATAAAACAAAAAATTCGGTTATATTAGGGTTCGGCTTAAGTTAGTTAAGAAGGTCTCTAAGACAGAAAATTTGCATAAAAAACTTTTTGTTAAGATCCAAAATGTGGTTACAAAACAATTTCTTAAATATATAATAATGTATTCAGTGATATATCGACTAATGCTGTAATGATACAAATCGAAAATTTTGAACTAACCATTAAAAAACTTTTGCCGAATTGGAAATCGATTAATTGTTAGTTGACAACTAATCGATTAAAAATTTTTGAATCAACCAACTAGAGTTCTTCAAATTCAATTTGAATTTGATTTGAAGTAAGAATTCAATTTGAAGTTTTAAAATTTGATCATTTGTGAAAATTTTTATTTTATTAAAAAATTTAACTAATTGATCTTGTGTATTAAGTAAATAATATTTTTCTAATCAAAATATCCCTAGTTTCATAGAATATAAAAGGCTGTTGACATAATAAATATTGAGAAAATGGCCGTAGTAACTGTAAAAATACTGTTCCTGGTTGATTAGAAAAAAAAACCCCCCAGATTCTAAAAACTATCATTACAGCGAATTGGTGTAATTATAAATTGGATCTTTATTCATATTCTTATTATAATTGATATAAAGAATATCACTATCGATACTCGGCAATTTACAAATTTTAAAAAAATAAAGGTCCAAATCTGTGTATTACTATTGAAGTAATACGAAAAATATGAAGTCAAATAATGACTTAATCCAATTGTAAGATTAAATATTAGAGATTGTTGAATAACTCATTGCAATTATTTTTCGGTCATACGTATAAAAAGTTTTTGGTATAAATTTAGACATATTCATACTTATTATATTAAGAATCGAATATAAGGTTTACGTTAAGATCAAAGTTATGGATCAATTAGTTCCTATTTAACTAATTAAGAACTCCTATCGCTATCGCTATCGCTATCAAGAAAGGTACTAAACGTTAAATCAGAAACAGCACTGACGATCTATCATATCATTTTTTTTACAGGGCAATCCAGGTAGATCCTACTAAATTTATAAAATTATAAACCCCACGGCGGATTTCACATGCGGTCAACTTGTAATGTCGGAATCCAACTACAAAAATTCGTTGCTTCAAATTACTTTACCTACATTAACCTCTTTCAACGAATATCATAGAGAATTAATCGAATCGGCAGTTAATTGCTCTTCAGAATCTTTAACTATTCATGTATCTTGTCAAAAAATTGAAATTTACAGGAATTATCCAGTAGAGTACTGGACCGAGTTTCATGATCTATTAAACTTTTTATATTTATCAGGAACCAAGGTTTCTTATGATAATTTAAAACATTTTCTTGAAATTGACATAATTTTTGAAAAATGGAATGGTTATAATATTGAATTAGTCAAGGAAAAGAATTTTGATGTATTTTTTGGAAGCAAAGCAGGTAAAAACCGTTTCTACGATTTCTACAAAATTCTATTGATCACAAATCTTTATATCATTTCAATTTTTAGAACAATCACGATTACAAGAGTTCAATGATAATCGCAAAAAAGCTTCATTATCTGATGTACATATCCTTATCTTTGATACTAAAACATCACCAAAAAATATTATGTATGATCAAAATTTTGAAGATCGCAAAAAATTTAATGAGAATCCGAAAAAACTATATCAAACTGCTATCGTTGGAGGAACTTTTGACCATTTGCATGCGGGGCATAAAATTTTATTAACCATGACGGCGTGGATTTCTGGTGAAAAAATGATTTGTGGTGTCACCGGTGAATTTAAAAGTCCTAGACTAATTATGTTAGTAATAAGCGTTTTTCATAAATTCTATAATTTATTTAATTTTATATCATTTGTAGATGACTGTATGCTTAAAACCAAAAAGTTCAAAGAGTTCTTGGAACCAATCAATATCCGAATAACAAAAGTCTTAAAATTTTTAAATGCAATCCATCAAGGTTTGTTATATGAGGTAAATTTACAATTCTGTTTTATTTAACTGATTTAAATACATGTTCTTAATACTTTTGATTTTAGGTTGTGCCAATATATGATATTTATGGTCCAACCATATCTGAACCATCCATTCAAGCTCTTGTTGTTTCTAAAGAAACTATGTCAGGATCCGGGCTTAGTAAGTGTATCATCCTTTATACTCAATAATGGTTAATCAATTACTAACTTAGACCCTTCCTTTATAAGTAAATGAAGAGCGGCAAAAACGAGGTTTCGAAACTTTAAACATTTTTGTCATTGAAGTGATATCTTCGTCTAATCCATCTCTTAAGGAGGATCTTAAAGATCATAAATTAAGCTCGACATACTTGCGTGAATTGTGCAAAAATTCAAAATCAAAATAGCATTATATACGTGAGTTGAACTTATATTATAATTATTTATTATCTGCTGTATAATAAGCTAACACTAACATTCCTTGTTACACTATCTTAAAATACTGTCATTAGGAGAAAAAAAGCTTAATTTATAACTGAAATCCTAATTTATTTGCCTTTATTATTAATTAAACAATATATCATTCAAGGCTACATTATAAATTATCTTATACCTTATAATATTTGGGCCCTGAAATGACGCTGTAGCTTGTTGGCCTTAATACCAACACGTGTATCAAACTCATGTTTATCCTGAAAAGTTGCGATATAGTATTGTGCATGCTTTGCATGACCACTTTTAGAAATAAGGACGCCTCCGGAGCGCCGATGATAATCAAAATTACCACCATATTGAGTAATAAGACGATTTATAATGATGGATTCCCGATCCTGTATATATAAAATTATTGTCAGAATAAGTATTAGATTTTATAGATATCCTCTTTAATTCTTACCTCTTGAGGACGTAAATTTTGCCTATAATATCTTCGCAACGAACGGTGACCGATACGTGCACCAGATGGTAATATTAATTCAGTGTCATCTTCATCCAATAAGCCACTGCATTAAATTAATAGTAAGCTATATGTAATATAAAATATTCCTATTTACAATCTCTTTAGAATTGTAAAATTGTCACCTACCTCTTTAAAAATTTGTCCCTATTATCATCAAGATTTTCTTCAACATCTTCCCATTCATCATTAATATTCTCCCATCCTTCCTCCTCATCAACAGGATAGCTTGATGTAAAATCGTAGAAATCTACAACCTCCATTATGTCTTCATCCCTATCATAAGCAATCTTGCAGTGTCCTTTATCTATCTACATTATTTAAGTTATTAATGATGAATTAGTATTTATATATATAATTGCCTAACAAATAAATATATTAAATACTCACCATATGCTGCCGAACAGCTTCAAGACTTTTTAAACCTTTCCCTCTCCCATTACAGTACAAACACAAATTTCTAACGGCAATTTTCTCTCCTAAAAACTTGATTAATCCATAAAGGTCAACTAAATATTCTAATTCTGGAATAAAAAAACTATGGACTTTGGTCATATGTGTTAAATTGGCTTCAAATGATTCGGATTTTTGTGTACAGAAAAGACAATCAATTTCGGTCAATTTAATCTATAAGTATAAATGTTACAATATCAGCTACAATAAAAAAAACAAAGGTAATAATCGAGAATTGATAATCATATACCTCTTCTTGCATGTTTTCATCGTCTTTACGAGCATTTAATGCAGTTTTTTTTACCAATGCACCACCTATTAATTGAAAATTACTTCGGTTACTACACGTTTCTAATACCATTCACTATTTTTCATTGGTTTAATTAAAACACCTTCTTGCACTGCCTTTATTTCTGCGACTTTATGCTTATTGGAGCGCAAATGATTTGCATATGCGTTTTCGGAATAATAGGTTTTTCTGTGAATACAGAAGTTTACGAGTGCTGACAAATACATTAAATAATGACTTGTAATTAAAAATAAAGCTCGATATTTTATAGTAGTAAATGGACTACTTTATAAACGGAATAAAAAGAAACCTACTCGACCTTTCAAAGTAGTAAAACAAAATGAAGTAAAAACAATCTTATATAACTTGCACTCTGATCCTCTT